GCTGTTCCCTTCCAGTCTGAGTTCACTCCCCTCCCCCCTTTACCTTTCCAGGGTGGAATTTCACAATACTACTCTATCTTAGGTAGCGAAGTCGATTAACTGATAAACCGATAAGCAAAAGCTTATAGGTTAATGCTACAGATTACACGCATAGGGCAGCCTGGCTCAGTCCTGGCTTACACCAGGTCCAGGACCTACCCCACTGTGGGTCTGCATTTAAAGTATATTAGGACCTGAGTGGGCAGGCAGTCAGGCTCAGTTCCGGCTCGCGCCAAGTCTGGGAGCTCAGGCCCCTCCTGGACAGGGGCTCCTGCCACCCCGTGCTGCTGCTTCTATATCAGAAGCAGCAGCATGGGGCGACAAGCAGCCAGTCCGGAAGGGGAGCTGTTTTTTTAAACTGGCTTTCCTCGGGGACCAGCTCCCATCTGGCAGCCCATGCTGTTGCCTCTGATACAGAGGCAGCAGCAAGGGGTGGCAGCAGCCCCTGTCTAGGAGAGGTCCTGGACCTGACACGAGCTGGAACTGAGCTGAATTGCCTGCCTGTACAGATCCTAATACACATTAAATGTAGAGCTGCAGCATGGTAGGGGCTCCCCGGGAGGGGACCGGAGCACACTGGGTGCTGGCCCCGCCCACAGGGACCACAGAATAGTCGACTAACCAAAAAAAATAGTTACTCGACTATTCAATTAACCAATATTTAACATCCCTAATTTTAGGTATTTATATGGCCCCCATCATTGTAGTGCACACAGCATTCTTTGAGGCAGGGAAGTGCTATTCTCCCCCACTGTACAGACAGGTAACTGGGTAGGGATGGACTTGCCCAAGGTCACACAGAAAGTCTGTGGTGGAGCAGGGACTTTGCATTTCAAGACCAAGACCAAAATACACACTGCCTGGTATATATCAATTGCTTATCACCCTGCAGACCAGACTGGGTTTCAGGCATTTGTAGTTGCTCCCCTTGGGTAGGCGTGCCAGATGCTGTCACCAAAAATCCCGCACATGGCGAAAACAAAACAAAACAGAAAAACAAAGAAACAAAAAAACGGGAGACCAAACTTGGTTGAGCACAAAAAAAGGGGGGGAGGGCGCTGCGCCTTTAAGAATCCCTGCATGCCTCGCTTCCCCCCGCCAGCCTTCCATCTGAGAGAATCAGAAAATACCTGTTTTCTGTGTGAGTGGTTTTTTTTTTTTTTTTAAACCAGACAGGGGCCTGAAAAAACAGATTGTCTGGGCAAAAACTGGACACCTGGTAACCCTACCCTTGGGAACCAGTGATCAGTGATAGTGATCGCGGGTGTTCTTAAAACCATGTATTTTTACTCAGTAGTTAGAACAAAGCATACGAGAAATAAACTATTTTAAACAAACAACTGACATACATATTTAGACTCCCGTGATCTTACCCTTCACTGCAAGGAAAGGCCTTGTTTACCCTAGAAAGAGTTTGGCAGTATAGCTCTATCAGTACAGATACAGCAGGAAATTGTAGTGTAGATACAACTTACCCCAGAAAGGTGTACTTTTGCCAGCATAGCTTATATCAGAACAAAAACTATAGTGGCAAACACACTTTTTTGCTGACATCACCGTGTCAACATTAGGCTTTCTGCCAGCATAAAAATATTGTGCTTTTTTTTAAATCACATTCCTAAGCAATGTTACTATACCAATAACAGTTTACAGTGTAGACTAGGCCTGTGTTAGATAGGCTTTCCTCTTCAATTAGACTGGGAATAGATCAGAAGCTGCTTCCATTCTCCTAGCAATCCCCGATCTTTCTGTGACCCACAACGGTTGCCACTCACAGCACGCCCTGCTGTTCTTTCTGGGCTTGTCAACACATGGAGACATCATTACTCCTGAATAACTCCATTTGTAGACAAGCTCTAAAACTGGTTCTCTCTGACAGGGATCATTCAGCCTGTTCCCACCCCCCTCACCCCAGTCAGCAGGAGCTTAACCAGGAGAATGCATCCCTGATGCCTGCTCTATTGTGTGAATAGTTAGACCCATTAGTCTCAATGCATTGTAATCACTGGCCTGGAGACCATGGCTCCCCTGAGAGTGAGGGTGTTCAAACTGTCCAGTCCCATCAGGCATCAAACATATAATCATTGAATTGTGGGATACAGGCCAAAACATGCAACAAATATTCCATCCTAATATGCACTGGGAGGAGAGCAGATCATTCACCCCACTGCACAGATGGGAAAATTGATACAGAGATTGGATTTGTTTTTAGTCACAGAGGGAATTGGTTTCAGAGTTGTGATCTGATTCTTGTACTACTGAGCTCTCAAGTCTAGTACAGCTCTACAATTCTGCCCTAGACTTGTATTCCTTGCTTCTGTGAGAAAGCTTTTTCCTGGCCCGATAAAGAACCGCAAAATTAACTTCATTTCTGGAAGCCTTTGCAATAGATTTGATAGCTGGTTCCTCCCACCACTATTGTTCTATGGCCTTTCATTTTCTTCTTCTCTATGACTTATTTTTATAAACCTATTCAGTCCTTTAAATACATTAATCTATAGTTTGGTCTTGAAAACTTTTTCAACCTGACACTCCATTTAAGTGATGTGTTTTTTCTCCATTCTAACAGTCTTCCTCTAATCCTCAGGTGAAAAGCTGCCACCTCTGGGGTGGAAGACAGTAGCTATTTCACAGCTCACAACTACATTTCATAACAATTGTATAAAAGCCATTGAAAAGCACCGTCTCCAACTACAACTGCATAGAGAATTTAAAGAGATAATGTAATTGAAATTAAGCCAGGACAACAAATCTACAAACCAGACATTAAAATTGTGTTAAGACTCTGATTCAGAGTTAAAGGTGTCTTTGTGCCTATGCACAGCAAAGGTGATTGCTCAGCATAGGTCTGCACTGCAATGGAAAACCTCGTCCACTCCAGCTGACTTGGGCTCAAGCTAAGAGGTGTTTAACTGCAGTGAAGATGTTCAGGCTCTCAGGACCCTCCTACCCTGCAGGATCCTAGAGCGCAGTTTGTAGCCAAACCTGAACCTCTATGCTGGAATTAAACAGCTCCCCAAGGCCAAGACAGCACAGCCCAGCCTCAAGTTTTCAGTTGCAGTGTAGACATATCCTAAATCCACCGCCTGTAACATACTGGTGTAACAAAGGGAGTAGAGGCCGTGCTGGAATTACAGCATAGCTATCTGTGGTTGCACTGGCTTTGGGATTATACAGATAGATCTGAGCCCTAGAGGTAGTTCTTCCAGCACAGAATTGGGCACATTCACAAAACACTCTCTCAGTCCTGCTTCTTGCTACCTGGTCTGTGAACAGAAGCCTCACTTTCCAGAGTCAGGCAATCTGGCACATTTCCTAAACTCTACATCTGGTGGCTCATTTACTGTGTGCAGTTGGGAGCGGGAGGTTGTTATGGTGAAAATCTAGGCATATCTAGGCACATAAATCCGGAGGCCTAACTCAAAGCCCAGCTTTCAAGACACCTGAATTCTGAGGTGTTTTGAATTCACACCCAATTCTGCTTGAGACACACAACATCAAAACGAAGACACAGTGCAGAGTAAGGACACAGGCATTGATATTGTTTTTACCATTATCTTGAAAAACCTGATGAGACAAGAAGACAAACAGAGGAGATATTGCAATTTAGACTGGGTGCAACCGATTACTTGCTCTCTAATGGGCACTTCCTTAGGCTTTTTGCTTTCCGTATATATCACCACCTATATGGCCTCTATCCACGTCTATTAAATCACAGTAAGGATGCTAAACCAGTTTGAGAGCACTGATGTTTAACCATTATGCCTGGGAGATGTGAGAAGATTTCCAGCGTAAAATGCTGTATCATTCACCTCCAAGTTTCTAAGGCCATGTCTATCCCATAGGCTGTGTCTAGACTACATGGCTCCATCGATGAAGCCATGTAGATTAGGGTTGTAGGCAAAGGCAAATGAAGCCGCGATTTAAATGATCGCGGCTTCATTTAAATTTACATGGCTGCCGCGCTTAGCCGACAAACAGCTGATTAGCTGTTTGTCGGCTCAGCACGACAGTCTGGACGCACGGGTGTCAACATCAAAGGTATTTGTCGACCACCCAGGTAAACCTCATCCCAGGAGGCATACCTGTGTGGTC